AAAGGTTCTACTAATCTTAAAATACCCGTAAATTATTATATTTACAAAATTTCCTCATACAGAACGTTTAAAAATTTCGCTAGCCTAAAATGTACATTTCTTATTCGATTGATTATATCCCTTACTACCAGCAATTATAAATGAGTTAGAAAACCGTTAGTTTTAGTTTTTGGCACTACTAAGGGGTTTTGTACCCGCAGGTCATAAGTTTTGAATTCATGTCTTTCCCGTAGCAGGTGTTTCAGCTTGCTATCGAGACTTTCCTTTATGTTCTGGAATAGTTTGTTAGAGAGGGCTTCATGATGATCGTCAATGGATTGGATGTTAGCTAACTCCAGGGCGGTAGAGTACGGAACACCTGGAAAGTTACACCTCAACGCTCTTTTCTGGATGCGCTCTCAATCTTCTCTTAGATATATTGGAAGAGCATAATGGAAAACAGGACAGGCGTAATCCAATGTTGAGCGTACGCATGCACAATAATATTGCACTATTTCAGCGATATCTACCCCGGACCGTTTAAGCTGAATCAAAAAATAAACTTTATTAATTTCATTTGCATCCGACTTCATTTGCATCTGTCTTTGTCGCTCCACTCAGCCTATTGACCTCTTTCCACCACTGTTTGGGGTTTTTAACTTTCAAATCTTCAACTTTAGATGAATAAAACTTTGCTTTGCTAGTTTTCCTTTCTCTATTCACTTTCTTCTTCAAAGTTTTATATTTACTACCTTCTTTGTTGGAGTGGAAAGCTAGTGTCGTAAACGTATAAGTTCCTTAATAAGATTTATAGTCATCCAGGGTGCGTCTTTAGGATAAATTTTGATAGACTTTATAGGCATAATGTTGTTCATTCCTATTTTTACTGTTTCATCAAAACCTGATAACATACATTCGCAATCCTTTTTGTCCTTCAGTAAGGACCAATTTAAGCTGGCAAAGTATCGAGCAAGAGAATCATTTTTGCTCTGTCTTTTGTCTCGGACGAAGATTTGTTTCCTTATGGACTTAGCGGGAGTGCGTTCTTTTGGATTCAACAATACAGTGCTATGGTCTGATAGCCCGAAAGGTGGATTGATTTCGGGTTGTGATAAGAATTTAACCATGTTAGTAAGGATTAAATCGAGAGTGGTTTGGCCCCTTGTAGGCGATTTTACTGACGGCTTTAAATTGAAATGACGTTGCAGACTACCTACATTAAGATGGTTAAAGTCTCCTGCAACAATCCGCAATTGGGGAACGTTGACTCTGCTGCAGATAAACTTTGGAAGAGGTGGTTCGTAATTAGTTGGGAGTCTGCCCCCGGTGGATGGTAAACCACAGCAAAAATTAGACATGAATAACCCCGAGGTAGTCGTTTTGGGTTAAGCTTTAACCAAAAAATTTCGTGATCTTGACAGCAGTTAAGATTCTCAGGTACTTCATACATAATCAACATCTTTCCTTTTTCCATTACCGCTTGAGTCGGTGGAACAGAAAATAAATCAAGTTCAGATTTTGAATACATACAGGAGTCTTTATGCATTGTTTCAGCGACTTGAGCCATGCCACTTTGGACTATAGTTAACGAGAGATGTTTTCTGCTTCTTGGTTGAACCGCGAATGGGTGTTTTAGCTGGCACAGCTCTTTTTATACCCTTTTCACGACCCTTGCCGGTCATTACTTTCTTGGCAGGGTTTTCTGCAAGATCAGATGCTGCTTGGTTTCCTCGTGATTTAAAAGATTCTCGTTTTTTCATTGGATTACATCTTGACCAATTTCTGTGGCTGCTTGTAATGCTCTTTTGCCAACAACTTTAGCACCTTGTTTGAATAGAAGGATAGTATATCTCGCAAGGCTCCTGAAAATACCTCCGAACCCATATCCCCTTTGCATATGTGCACCACGAAACCCAGCGATATTACCACCACGCTGCTGTCTAAAGAAATAGTCTTTCAATAGTTTAGCATCCACAACTAGTCTTCCGCGCATTTTGAGATAAAGTACCGAGATCTCTTCTGTGTAAAGTGAAGTGTTGCGATTAACTTCCCGAACTCAAATGAGACGTTTTCGTTTTGGTCATTCTTTATATTGACTTCAATGGTATCAAAAGAATTTACTTTGACCGGTACGTATTGCAAATTACGAAAAGTTGCGTGAACGGTGTTTGCATGTTCCCCTTCGATATTAACGATTCGTAGGAAAGGCACTTTCACATCGCCCACAAACTGTGCATCAACGATATCAGTATAGACATACATGGCGGAAAATCCACCATTGATATCTGCAGCATAGGGACTCGAAGTTTTCTTTTCAATAAGAGTGCCCTGGTCAAATCCCAAGACCGTTGCTAATTCTCCGGTAAACTGACCACACAGTTGTGCCGTGTTTTACATCAATCAAAACTTTGCGAGAACTGCGATTATAACTAAACTTTACTTTCGTTTGTGCTTCATTTGACATGCCGGCATTGAGTGCTTTTGTTAGTTGGTCGATAGAGGAATATTGTGTTTCTTTAAGCACAATTTTATACAAAAACTTTTGATGCACTCAAAGTCTTAGCGTCCTCCACGTATATGTGTAATGCAGTTCCGTCAATGCGACTTTCCATTTTCCTGGCAAGACAATGGTTTCGGCCAATTTTACTCTAAAATTCGCTACCGTATTATTTGGAAAATAAGTCAACGAACTATTACTCAGTAACGTGAGATATAACTGTGTTGCCATATTGAAGACCAACACACAAATGAACACAACTGATAAGTTTCAAATACGTTTATTTAATATATTTTACACTTTCTGCTGGTACCCAAGAATTAAATTTATCAGGGTAGCCCAACCATTTTACAAAATATTCTTTATACATTTATTACGCATGCGTGATCTAAGTATTTCTTCGACTCTATAAAAATCACTGTCTGATTTGTTGACTTTCTGAAGGTCTTGTTCGTAAAATGTTCCTTCCAATTTTTCATCAAAATCAGCGATCTTGTACACGGGTGGTCGTCGAAGAACATAAGTATCCGTTGGGTCCAACTAGGTAAGTATCCTTTCTTAAATGTGCGCCTTGCTTTGCTGATCCGTACTTGATCAATGTTAAACTTAAACCGAACGGGTTTGTCTGACTCTTCTCCATAAAGGTTTTGCCACACAATGCTCTCGTTGTCTTTATTTACATCAACGGGGCTCATACCAATACTACGATGTCTCGAATGATTATAAGATTTTACCAGTTCCTGGAGAATGTCCACGTACTTGAGCGTGTTCTTCGCTGTAAAGTATTAATTTTCCACATTTTCGTCTTGAGCGTACGATTAAACCTTTCGACAATTGATGCCTTGGTCTCGTTTTGCGTCGTGAAAAACCGGATGTTATGTTTCTTCAAAAAGGTTTGAAACTTTCGATTCATAAACTCTCTCCCTTTGTCCAGCCACGAATGACTACAAGCGCACGAAAGTCCACCGCACACCTGCTCATCAAATCGGTCATGAATGACATTTTGCTAAACAGATACTGTAGCTACCTCTAGTACGCAACTGGCTGAAGGTTTAAGAGCGAGGGATGTGGGTAGTTTTCAAGTCGTTTCAAGGTCATTGAGGCTACAGTAATTCGAAAGCATGCGTAATTTCGATCAGTTTCATTTGTTCACACGGAAATTCGCAGGTTAGGTGCGTTCGGATATGTCCGGTCACATTTGAACGGGGCCTGTGCTGTTACATGTGACAGTCCTAGATTAGGGGCTGTAAAGACGAAAAATAATCCAATTGCATCACATGAAATTTTCAAAACAATGAAAATGACAATGGAACATTCCGATCACTGAATCGCACAAATGTTACGCCAAGTGTTATGCAAAAGCCATTGAATATTCTAACAAGAAAACTCTGACATGCTATTTCGAAATACAATCAACCTTACCCTGCCTTCTCCTGCCATATGAAACGTACTATCTGTTGCAATAAGTACCATACGCCGAGTCGATTCTTTCGCTCCCCATTGAAGTTCCTATATCAAATTGTATAACATTATGACGTAAGGTATAGAATATTCCAGTTGAAAATATTGGAGAGAGGAGGTATTGATGACACAGTGGTTATATATATAGTGTATGTTTTAGAATGTACCAGTAACGTACAGGTATTGACATGATGGCACTGCATGTGTTAATCAGTTGTTACCGCAAAATGTTTAAGATTTGCAAGCCAACTTTCGCCTCCTCTTTCAAAATAGCTGTACCAACACAATCAAATAAAGCACATATATTATACTGAAACAAACCTGTTCGCAGGCTGCAACTTGCATCAATGCGTCTAATGTGCCTTCTGGCTCATCACGATTACCAGAACTAACTTGATTATTAATTTTGCTCTAAAGTCATTAAAAAAGACGAAGATATATTAAATGAGCTTGAGCACCAGGCCTCGGTAATTTTTCGCATCTTGCGAAAAACGAATTCAATAATTTTTTTATTATCTATTTAAAAGATAAAAAAGAATTCTGCACTTGTGGGTTCAATTCGTCAAAATAATGACCAGTTCTTTTTCCATTTGCAGAAAATCTTCCCTTTTTTTCATAAGAACGTTAATATGTTTCAAAACCTTTCCCGGCTGTTTTTATTCGTATTTTATATTTTAAAATTTGCTTTCCTTAAACCTAGAGTAAGGGGCCGCCATATCATTACATCATAACGTTGTCGTTGATACGATTCTTTCATATGTGATACGCGCATATGTATCTGCGCAGAGTGTTGACATGCTGTATGTTTTCATTATGGCAGTTGTTTTTGTCACTGTTCTCGTTGTTACAGTAATTGTTCAGGTTGTTGAAGTTGTTATTGGAGTTGCTGTTGCACAATTGGCAATAAATGATCAGGAGCAGACTTAAGCTGAAATTTCAAGCAGAAGAAAAATAAAAGATGCATAAAATCAATTTTTTTATTGAAACCATTAAGACTTACCCTGAATTCATTTGCGTTACTAGTAAAAGTAAGTATATGCTTATAATCATATGGCTTATCCTTTCCAACGCTGTATGGCAGTCCAATCCTAAACAAATTAATATCATTCGCATATTATTTTATGAAAACATACTGTATATTCACGACACAATTCTTAATTAAAAAAAAAAAAATGAAGCGGAGCATGTTGCACACTATTTGGGTTAAGCTTGAGTACATTTTCGTGCCTACATTTTCAACAGCAGGGTCTAAGCAGGACTTCTTGCATGGTTGACCAGACTATACAGGTAAATATCGGCTTCGTACCCAGGCACTTTGGTTTGTTTACGTCATTAAGCGCACGTGGGACGGCACGCGAGGGAGAAAAACGGAAAATTCGGCGGGAAGCGCCTGGTAGAATTCGCATTCAAAATGGCGGGTCAGTGTTCTGCAAGTGTTCTGTATTATTTATATTATTATTGAAATGACATTGTTTACAGCCAAATACGGGTTCGTACATTGCCATTACTCTTTAGAGTGCAATATTTAACTTAAACTTTTAATGGTTTGCCTTGTTCATAGGCCTACTCTTTTTATAATATTAACTATGCAGTCACTACAGTGTCATGATTTTGCTGTTTTTGTTCAATATCACGCATTGTATTTATCGTATTCAACTCAATATTTGTGGTTGAGATACAAAATTTGACTTATTTGTCAAGATTTGTCAAATATAATTTAGAGCCATATGGTTCGAATATATTTTCATTTTGACCTTGGCTAGAGCAGCTAGGTGTTGTTGTGCGGGATATATCGCTTTTTATTACTTGTCAATTCATGTTTTGTTTGCAAATCACTGGTTATTTTGACCCTGGATATATTTATCGTCATTTTCATCATGTTTTAAATCCAGTATAATAAACGTAAACGACTGTACGCTACTACACTCTACAGGACGACACGAATATCTATTGTTGTTACAAATATGAACTGTTTGCCGCCGGCTAGGCCACCGCGTTCTTTGAGCCTCTTGAGCTGTATCCTCATGCCTTTCATCATATTGCAACGAAATTTCTGTGACATATATTCAATCCATAAAGCCACTGGAAGGCTACGTAGACTTACTCCAAAACGAATTTACACTATAGAACTGTTTGATAATATATATAGTATTTTAATTTATTATATAAACATAAGTGTTATAATTTATAGAGTTAAACACACGTGTGAAAATATCATTTGTTGTAAAACGCATTGCCACGGACGTTTTATTGTTTTTCACTGAATTTTGTTTATATAATAAACAGAAAACTAAATGGGTGCTTGGAAATACGAGATTTATTTCTCGTGTTGAACAAGATATCTCACTCGTTCGCTGCGCTCACTCGTGAGATATCATGTTCAACACTCGAAATAAATCTGGTATTCCCGCGCACCCATGTATTATTCTCTATATATCCGACTATGTGTAGTTTAAATAAGCACGATATTCGCGCAACTTTACATTCAACAGTTATTATTTCGAAAGATTAATCAACGGCATACAGTTTTCAATGAAAAGTGTTATTTCAAACCGCCAAAAATCCACTTGATCGAGTCCGCTCCAGAAATCGATATCCGCTCCAGAAATCGACACGGATTCTGCCAGGCGCCTCACCACGAAACGATCAAATTAATCCACGCAGCCCACGCAAAGGCCGCGCAAGTCATAGAACAACACATAGCGCCTGATTACGAGGCTGGGTGAACATACAACTTTATCGCTTCCCTGCATATATTAAACCACCATCGCCAAACTGTTTGTCAGGTTGAGCTCGGTTTTCTGTGCTACCGAATACTACAAGACCAGTCAAAGCCTTTATGGCATAATTACGGCTTATGTGCCCGGTTGTTTGCACATAGCCGCTTTATCGCTTCCGCGGTAGCAAGCAATGCATAACCTAAACTTTAGCGGCAATTTATCAGCCTGATGAGCTCCGTTTTCTGTGCGAAGGACTGCATGCAAAAGATCAATAACAGTACACCGTTCTGGATAAAATAATGGCAATGTGCAGGAGCACAATGCCGATTTAATGATTAACACAAAAATATCAAATTACAAATAAATGTTACAAATTTAGTATTCATACATAGCACAGAAAGGGTGGGGTGTTAAAAAACGCCCCATATACAAAAACCGCCAGTAACGTGTATCGTAGGACGCAAAATGAGGCAAGCGAGGGCGGGAGGGAAATGAAAACTTGTGAGGACTTGAAAACTTGCCTTGTGAAGCCAAAGGTGAATGACCTTGAGCTGTTAACCCTCAACGTTTTTATATAGTAGGTCCAAGATGCACGTGAAGCGTGACATGGAAATTCACTGATGTGTTGCAAAATTCCACGGGAAATAAAACTGGTTGAACGAGTTTCCCTGCCAGGTTCCCTCCATAACCCCATTCCGCGTGCTACCCCGAATCCCTAAATATCCCAACAAAATTCCCACGGAAGCAATAAATTGATTATTCGCTGAAGCAAATAAATCCTTTATTGTTTTAATCGATTTTTAATAATTAACAAGAAACATTATTATTATTTAAAATTCTTTATACACGGTAGCTTATCAACCTATTTCTACTCAAAATATATAGAGTTTTCTGATAGTGATAAAGTTTCAAATAATTAAATTGGTTTTCATAAGGCCGTGTAGAAATTTAAGCTAAGCAGTAGAACAACAATTTACTAAATTATAGTAAATATCATGCATAAACAGGACATTATTACATTTATAATATTCCATAAGAAACCGACGAAAACATACACTATAGTAACAGTTTATTGGAAACGATGTTTTATAGCAGTCACTGGCAACTTGAAAAAGTGTTTCGCTTCAGTGCATTTGTTCTTGGTTTTGCCAGTTTCAGCATAGTAAAATTACTGCGAAGATTATATTGATCGTTTACTGAAATGTGAAACTGGTCTGATATTGATGTAGGAATTTCATTTTTTAGAATTTTGCGCATAAACAAGAGCGTCTTAACCAATCTTATCTGGTTTAGTGGTTGCCAATTCAGTTTGCTAAGAACATCTTTTGAACAAATCTCCCAATTATCTCCAGTTCAAAAACTCATTAATAATTCAGGAGAATACACAAAAAAAATCATAAGCGTGTCGTGGTTTTATATGTGATAAAAAATAATGTTAATTTACATAAACTTTAGCTTTGATTTTCTCGGTTTAGACAAAGTTTATTTTAAAAATTACTTCACCAATGTACTCGTATAAGATGAGTCGTTTTTGAAGCCATTTAAAGCACTTGTAGTCGTGTTTTATCACATTTAAAACACTCCGCTACGCGTCGTGTTTTATATGTGATAAAACACTCCTGCGCGTGCTTTAAATAGTACTTATAACTCTTGCTGCCTTATTTTGAAGCTTTTGAAGTTTCAATTGCAACTCTAGTTTACAATTTTGCCATACTAGAGAGCAATAGTCAAAATATGGCTGCACAAGAGGATTATAAATCTGATTTAGGCAATCCTTTGGAACATAAGGTTTGATCAATTTTATCGCTCCTATTCAGCTTGAAATTAATAACTATATATAACATTTACCTATTGATTAATAACTATATAACATTTAGCACAGAAAAGGTGGGGGTATTACTAACGCCCACTACACATAACGTATCTTTTCCATCCAATTTCGTGATGTGAACTGCAGCCCATGTGGAATAGGAAAGGAAAGATGGCCCGCTTCACCACTGATAAATACCGAAACTTCCAATCACGTGACTATACTTAAACTAGAAAATACATGCATGCAGAAACCCTCGCCTTGCTGACAAAACCATTGTATTTTCCGAAAATGAAGTATCTAAAGTTGTTGTCATGGTACACGGGTAAAAATTGATCAGGTTGTTCGGCGTTGTTCAAACAGGAGTGAACAATGTTGTGCTGCACCCCGTGAACAATATTGTTAACAAGTTGTATATTCACAAATGAAAAATCGCCTAAAAACATCACTTTTAATTACAAAATTATCAATTTCCCAACATATATATGTTAGGTATGTTATTATACATAATATAAGCTTCAATTTAAGGTAAAATTCAACCACAAACGCTTCGCAAAACGTTTTAAATTAATTAATTTTAAATTGCCTCAACCATCAGTACTGTTGCAAGCTGTTAACATGATTGTCAACAAGTTGCAACAATGTTGATGGTTCAACAACTTGTTAACAATATTGTTCACGGGGTGCAGCACAACATTGTTCGCTCCTGTT